AATGCTGACTGAAAGGAAAAGTTCAGTTTAGGGTTTAAAACCCTAATGCTGACTGAAAGGACCCCCCCCCATGTGTGATGTTGTACTTTCTGTTAGATGTGATTATTTGTAATCTTATATGATTACAAGTCTATTTCTAATGTTGGAGATGCAGGTTTTGTGAAATTACTTAAATTGATTATATCATAAGAGCAATCGGAAGAGACGGAATTTTGATGAGGAAGGAATAAGGATCGTACAGCAATCAGCAACAATGGAATTGGCAGTTGTTTTCGTCATTCCAAGGGAAAAACTGTGTTTATCTAGTAGAATGATTGAATGGTATGTTAGTAACAATCTTTTCTTGTTCTGATTCTTTTTTTTTTTAAAACAAAAATCCGTGTTACATTCTAGTAAGCTTGATGGCAGCTTTCTTGAAGATTGACAAGAAACTTTTTAGTGTCGAGAGATTTTGTTGAGCTATTATAGAGAGAGCTTTGGTGCAATGGTAAAAGTTGTTGCCGTGTACGTAAGATCCAATATGGTCCGTACCTCGCACATAATTAGGATTTAGTGCACCAGGCTATTCTTTTATTATAGAGATCTATAAGTGTAGACTCGATGAATGAAGAAATAAGTTCATGATAAGGACTAACTTGGAAGTGAAGAACTACTGAATTGTGGTAATAGACGTTTCCTTAAATCAGTTGTATCCCTCTTTTCTTTTGTCACACAAAACAAGGGAAAGCCTTTATCATTTTCCTTTCCTTCCCCAGTTTTCACACAACATAAATAGCATTTGAATATATGAATTAAAACCCATTTAATGATAAATGCAGGGGAAAACCTCTCCCACGGCAACTATGTATTTGGGATCTTTATACAAATAGCATGTTGGATTCATTATTTACTTTTCCTGATCGGTATATATTGATTATACACTGATTATAGATAATTATATAGAATTAATTATATATTATGTATCCGTCAAATAATTTTTTTAAATGGCCGGGTAGGGTTATTTTGTTTTTTTTTTAGAAAGAAAGATATAACGTAACAATGAATTAATCAATATTAATGAATAATTAAAAAAAATGTTAGTTAAGAACTTAAAAACTATTGACCGTAAACCATTGCGATTATATTCATTCAATGAAGATGTTCGCCTTTGTTGGAATGAAGATGAATGAACAAGCACTAGAGCAATGAAATTTGGAGAAAATATGAAAGAGGTCACTATACTGGGGTGGGGTGAGGTGAGGAGACATGACAATGACTTGAGAAAATATACCCTCGAAAGACAAAGGAAACAAGGGTTAGATTACCTCATTCTAGGCACAATCTTCCTAGAGATGGAGAGCTCCTTGCTTCACCTTTTTGCACCTATCCTTCTTGCTTGTGTACCTCTAGGCCTCTTGTCTTAATAACTCTTTGTTCTTCTTTTTTCTTGTAACTACCCGACCAACGTTTTGAGCATTTGCACTTCGCTTGGTTGTTTGAGGGAATGAGTAGCTCCGTATGATTTATTATGACTTATGTGAATCGTCAGTTTTGGTTTTCAGATTATTTGAAATTGATTTGGAAGAGTGATTCTCAGCTAGAAGCTTTAAATCTGAAAGGTTTGACCAAGTTATGACTTTTTAGTAGTTGACCTCGAATTGGATTTCTGATGGTTCTGTTAGCTCCGTTGGGTGATTTTGGACTTAGGAGCACGTCCGGATTGTAGTTTGGAGGTTCGTGGTAGAATTTGGCTTGAAATGGCGAAAGTTGAAATTTTGGAACGTTTGACTGGGACTGAACTTTTTGATATCGGATCGAATTCTGATTCCGGAAGTTGGAGCAGGTCCGTTGTCGCACCTCCTTTTTACCGCGCCCGCGGGGCGCGTGGGGAGTTTTCTCCAATCGAAGGACAGTCGAAACAGGATTTATTTAATTATTTAAGAGTCGCCACCTGGGAATTTTAAGGCGTCCCAAGTCACCAATTTCAATCCCTGAATCGAGGAGAATATGACTCTGTTTATTATTCTGCGAACCAGAAATCCTGAGTAAGGAATTCTGTTAATCCGGAAGAAGGTGTTAGGCATTTCCGAATTCCGTGGTTCTAGCACGGTCGCTTAACTGTTTTTATTATTGGCTTAATTATCTTGATTTT